TGGTGTGGTGGCCGACATTTGTGTGATGTGAAACAAAATAGAGACTAGGTGGGTTAGCGAGTAGGGTTGACCCTCTTGACAAAGTAGTTTAGATGACAGGAACTTCTCTGCGGTGTCAGTGTCCATGACATTATTGGGTACAGCTATGATCTCTTCAGTGGTGGTTTGGGTTCTGGCTGTTCTACGAGTATTAGGGCCTCCGGTCGGAGGTGGACTATTGGCCTTGGGTGGGCCAGTACCAGTGGTGGTGCCCGGTTTACCTGTTGGCATATTAGTTATAGTTCAGGTTATATACTTATGTAGATGATGTTTTTGGTGTTTTCTAGGGTTTTTATGTCGGGAATGGGCTTGGGGAGGCGCCGTTGGGCGTCTTCGGCGCTGTTGGGCGCGAATTTTGGTTGACGAGTTCCGGGGTCCTAGTCGGGGTGCCACTTGGTTCGGGTCCAAGAAGCGATCCAGATTGAAGTTTTCAGCTGTCTTCACGTCTGTTTTTTTTTTTGGTATCGTCTGTGCCAAGTTTTCGTTGTACCTCTCTAAATCGCGTGGTGTCTATTTTTATCGGGTCCAGGGCCACTTCCCCCTACATCTCGAAATCACCTCCAGTATTCAAGCAAAGCGTTGAGTACCAATTTCGCCGACCGCTCCAAAGCCCGACACGTCAAATGCCGAAGAACCTCGCACCGTTTGTTTTTGACATCCATTTTGAATGGTGAGTTTACGAATTTGAAGTGAATTTGATTATATCTGCATTTTGACCTCGCAACCGATCGCTACCTGTAACCTGGGCTCTTGAAGTTATTCCAATATTGTTCTATTCGACGTCGATATTGGCGGTCACAGCCATACATAGTATAGGATATAATGCAGTAACAGTAACTCGATGGGCGATTTACGTCAAGAGGCTTGGAAGGCTCTCTACCAGTCGTAGCATCATGGCCGGAAGTCGCAGGGCTTGTGTTGAATTTGCCAAAAGGTTTTTGCAGAAGTTTCTAGCATGTGAGGGGCTGTACGTATGCTGGTGGTCTCGAGACCTTGTTTTTCGTATCCATCACCATTGGAAAGCTGTATGTCCTGTGTACTAGGATCTCTGGAGTCGCGAAGGAACACCAAGTGGTTGATACAAAAGGCGGGGCGGTAAGTGCTATGTCATATCCGGGCTAGCTTATTGTGCTCCTTTGCTGCCAAAAAATGATCGACATGGGCGTGACCAAATCTGGAAGAAGATTGGAGTCGTCCCAAGAACGTAACGGTTTGCGTCCACTGCCTGCTGGACTATGAGGAACTCTAATGTTTTGATTTGTTATTGAAAACCAATCTCTCCGCATCCATAGCACCCTTTCAGACCACGAAGTTCCGATTTTCATGCGAACACAGACTATTTTGGAAAAATGTGGGGGATCGGTCACGACGACCTTGGGGATGGGGGAATGGAGACATGTACTGTTGTCAAAAGGACTGATGAAGGGATGGATGTATGACCCACTGTAGCTTAACCTTATTTTCGAGCAGGCGCATCGATAAGGCGACGAGGCGGGCTTGACTTCCCAAACCAGCCATCGAGGCGCATCGATAAGAGTTCTACCAGTACTTCCTGTGTAACAGCGGCTGCAGTCGATAAAATATCAAATACTAAGGTACGCGCTTCCATGGAAGACGCGGGTGCGATATGATTTACCACTTACCTGTACAAACTGTAACAGCCTGTAACTTGTTTGAAAATGGAGTTCCGAGGGGGTTAGACTGAGGGAAGTTCCCGTCCTTTTGGGATCTTGTCACCTGATGGCGAATGCAGGACAAGTGGCTCCAACTACTACTACTACACCCGTGTCTGTGAACGCTAGACGTAAGTGAGATTCCCTAGAGCGCCCAGGGATCTCACTGTTTGCCTCTCGGAACCGCCCTGATCTCGGTAACTATCCCAGTCACCCCTGTTTGTCTCTGTGTAATACCAAAAAAAAAAATACAAAAATTCTTTTGACACTCAGATCGAACATTGCTAACAGCCTTGCACTGGCATGCCCACAGTCAGGCAGTCTGCAGGCAGGAAGACAGCAGATCTTTTGCTCGTGTTATGCTCACGTGGGATCCCCATGACGGTTCTCGTAATTTAATGAAAGGACAGTTCCCAAGCCTTTGATCGGGAGCGTCGTGGAGGAAACGAGTCTTCTGTCAACTCTCGTTTCTCTCGAAACCTTTTTAGACCCGACAGTCGGACGGAGGCAATGTGAGTGTGGTCCCTAGTAATGTATGATCATGACCCCCCGTCTTCATCCGCGAACCGAGACTTGCCGACTTTCAGGATTGTCATGTCCCGTATACAAGGGTCAAAGAACGGCGGCGATAATCGCGTGTACGGAAACGGACTTAGCTACTAGATCTATGTCCTGAATTGAACATCAACCCAAGTACATGTGAGAGCCGACATTTGCAAATCAAGATGAGTACTTGATTGGAGTTGATTGGTCGGGTAATTGAAAGGTCCTGACGGTCGTACTTACCTATGAGCGGGATATAAATCCGGATGATACAAAAAGTTGGCCCAGTTTCCGTTGCATTGTCGCCTACATAACACCACAATATTTGGTTTACCAGCCCCCATCTCATGCCCCGCCATTCAATTTCTGCCCATATGTCTCAAATAACTGATGGCGACATAGCTTTGATCACTCCCATCTCACCCTCAAATGCACCTTGGGACCAGTGCCCTCCATCATACTCTGGAAATGCAATGAGCACTATTGGGTGGAGTTACTACCCTCTACCACCGTCCCCGCCTATCTCTGTCGGCTCAAATATCACTGACTCTCCTGGACCTGCATCTGCTAATACAACTCCTGACTCTGCACGAGACAAGGAACAACAATTGTGCTTGCCTACACACCAGGTGTTTGACTTCCCTGAGGTGCCAAATATATCGTCACCTTCACCATCTATCTCTCCACCGCTATCAAAGTCTTCTCAGCCACCTATTTCCATTGACACTCACATGCATGCAGAAGGGCTATCTTCCCTCCCTGTCGCAGGCCCTTCGAAGAGACCACGAACTGGCGGAGAGCGTATCACAACGAAAGACTTTGTGCCACCTGATGTATCGGGTTTGAGCAAACGAGAAGCACGTCTGGTCAAGAACCGCGCCGCTGCTTTCCTTAGTAGACAGCGGAAGCGGGAGGAATTCGAGGCTATGGAGATGTAAGTTCCTAAAGTTATTTCTTGGGTACGTCACAGGACACTAAATGATACCCGCTTCACCGATATAGTCGCGTCAAGGAGCTAGAGGATGATAATGTGCGGCTGCAAACCGCTGCCAAAAGAGGACACGCCTATGACGAGTTGCTCTCGGAAGTCGAACAATTACGCACTCGCCTTTCTGGATCTGAAAAAAGGGGGCGCGAGTTGAAGGCCGAACTTTCACGAAGATCAATCAGTGATGTCCACGTGAAGACAGAAAACTACGAACACTCTTTGACACCAGTCTCGCCATCTGCATCGTTGCCAATGCACTCTCACCAGAGATCAGGAGCAAGTCTCGGCCTGATGGTAGGCAACCTAGTATTTGGAAATCAGAATTATGAGACCAATGACCCAACAGCAGGTTCTCCTATGCACGCTACCGGCGTCCCTTCTTTCCATGTCTCCAAGATCACTTCCCACGACATACTATATTCCCCTGACAGATCCCTCGGTCCTACACCCCTCGTGCAACTTCGACTACAACTCCATCATCCCAAGCGATTTCGAATGGACACCACATCCTGACGGGGGAGCAGTGATGAACCTCGGTTTTAGCGATCTCGGAAAGCTTTCTTCGGGCGCTGGATCTTCGTCCCCTCGCAAAGTCGAAATCCACTCCGAAGCCATCAGAGCCCTTGGGGGATTCGAAATTTCCTTCGATGCCAGTCCAGTCAATGACGGAAAAATTCAGGTTCGGATCTATCCTTCCCAATCACACCATATCAACCGGGATCACCAACGTCCACCCCCATCCTCGATGCCTATGTGGTTCGAGTCAGCACCAAATAACTACAACTTTGCAGGTGCCTTGACATTTACCGCATCGTCGACACCGGGATCTTCTTTCGTGCCGTTGACTAGCGATTTTGACTTGGATCCTTTTCTGGGTGGAGTTCACGACTCAGGAATGCCGTATGGCAGTGGTGGACCGGCGTTCGGCCATCATCCATCGGATGCCACATTTGAACACATACCAGGGTTTTTGAATGGCACTCGCAACGACTTCTCCAAACACCGTTCGCGAGTTGCTATGAGAAACCTGCCAGCTGTCGGGATGGAAGGGGAGTGGGAGGTTCAAGCATGTTAATCCTTCCGCAGTTGGTCAACCGCGTTACTCGACAACCGTTACTCATGTCCCATCTACTTGCATTCAGCTACTCCGATTGAAGTTACCTGGATAAACCGCATCGGAATTTATATCACTAGTATCTACTTTACTGGCTTGAGCTGGCCTTGAAGCAATTGCTCGCATTATTTTTTCACAAACATACTGGATATATAGTTTTTACTTAGGTGTAGCAGATATAGAGGTGAATCTCAAGGTGGCAGAGCCCTGCCTCAGTTTCCTTCCTTTTGCAGACATTGCGCAGATCATCGTCCTCACCACCGAAATGAACACACACGAGTCAAATAACAGTCCAGACTTCAGTGCCACCACGTTACAGCGAGGAAACTATATTTGTGGGGAATTTTATCGTCCACTGGGAAACGATAGCAGCACCTTTCTCCTCTTGACCATCACCCCCGGGCCTTCCCGGTGATCGCACAATTCCGACCCTCACCATCCAACATACCAGTCTAACACAACAGTTTGGCATATTACTCTTTACTAGAGTCTTTTTCATTACCGATCCACCCGCAACAGCCATGGATTTGGCTTCAAGCAGTGTCCACTAGCGTAAACTACTGTCCACTCATTTGATTGACAACAACAACGGAGTTCATTTAGCTAGTAATTTTACTCACGTTTAAGGTTTCTCTATACAAGTCTAATTTGATAACCTTGTCGTCTCCGTTCCCAATGTTGACTGGACATTGCGGCCGCTTTCCGAACTGGTAGGGTCAGCTTCTCCGCTCTCACTTTCCTTGCCTCTATCTTTCTCCATGCATGGTCCGTCGTCTGGATATAGATTGTTCTGCTCTATATAATCGATGACAGCTGCTGGGAGGAGATACTGTACCGAAAGACCCCTGCGAAAGAACAGCCGTACCTTCGTCGAGGAAACATCGTTCTGGACCTGCTGAGCGATAGGGTAGATGTTGTTCCGCCAACGCGCCAGGCTGTCAACTACTTGATCCAGAGCGGCCCCAGTGCGCTCAATGACAAACGTTCCATGGTGTCCGAGTATATGATCGAGCTAGACCACTGCATCAGTCCGCAAGCACATGTGATTTTTTGAGACCAAAGTAGATACCTACGTCATCATGAGACCAAACGCCCGGCTCAGACATGGAGCGAATTAGGTCTGAACCAGCAAGGAGCATGATCTGAACATCACGTTCACCATCTCGAGTGGACACGCCACCAAGAACCGTGTTAATTTCGTAATCGAAGTGATCGAGCACAATAGCTGTACGTTGATAGTTCTGCAGCGCCTCCCAGGAGTCGACCATCAGCCACGACGACTCTTGCTCTGCGGCGAGCGTGCACATGTTAACCCTGTTTCATGCAGAATAGATCAGTATTGAAATGATAGATAGTTGCACAATCCAAGACGTTGAAGTTTCAAAGTGGGGGGTAAAATTTTAACCTTTCCGAAATCTTGGAATACCGGACACAAAAATACATCTGTGTCAGGGCATCTTTACAAAGAAGTATGCCTGCTTAGGTCTTAGGTTCGCCACGGCTGTGGGACCTCACGAGACCTCGTGAGACTCAGTTATGGTCCACAAAAAAGAACGCGATAATCTGACCCGGTCCGACTACTTGAACTGGAGCATCCCTCTAGGGAAAAACACAGCCCTTCTAAAGAGGATAGACCACAACTCCGGTGCCCCGACACATAATATGGGAAGAAACAACAGCGATGCACTTACCGATGATGTGCACTAACTAGACCCGCTTTCTTGTACTCGTCACTGACTGGACTGAGATATCCACCGAGGATCTCAAAATTGGTATTCTGCTGAATGAAATCCTTCGCGATCTCAAACATCCGGAGGTGATGATATGTGATAGGATTAAAGGAGCCGCATGCCACCAAGACGATAGGTTGCTTGGTAGAGGTGTGCAGAGTGCGACAGAGTCGATGCGAGGTAAAAGCATAATTTGGAGGATTCGTCAAGACGGTCGTCTTGTGTGCAAAGATTTGAGCGGCCATAGTGGTGCTAGAAGGAGTGTGGCACTGGAAATGATGATATCATCTTTGGTGCGAGATAGCCTGCTACTACGTACCCTGAAACAACGTTCCCCCTTTTTCTCCTCAGTGAAGATGGACTGGCACGATCTCCGCATTAATGGTGATCACAGGTGACTTCTGAGAACTCGGTGATATTGCTGTTACTGCAAGACATTTCATGTGTTCACAAACATTCAGAAGACATGCCGCGTGGTCAGTGTGATGCGTCGGTGACCTCGGAGGATTCAGCAAACCATTGGGCGACCCTTACTGCATTGCACCCTAATCGCTCCCGGGTCCGGCGGCCGTTTATCCATCACCTAACCTTCAACAACCACTGGTGTGAACACAGGGCCAACAAATTCGAATCAAATCGTGACCCTGGATCCCTGGTTCGCAGCTTTCGAGCTTTTTTCTACATCTTCAAGTTGTATCACTTGAAGCTATGGTGCAGGAAATCAAAAACAACCCAAGAACCAGGTGACTAGTCGGCAGCGCCGAACCGTAGTAAGCATGTTTGTCTTTTACTCCTCGACATCGCTTGTTAGTTGGTCAAATCTACTAACATGATTTCCATGGGGAGTCGTGATGGCTTTTACATATTGACCGCGGCAATTGTAACTTACATCCCAACCTTCCCTTCGGAATCAATGTTACGAATTCAACGTTTCAAGTTTATTACCGTTTCTCATTGATCCGGGTCGTAACTTCAGTCCCCAAGGCATCTGGCAAAAGTTACAGCATAATCATGAGGCTCAATGGCATTGGCATCATCAATATTCGAAGCTTTGTCTAGAGTGATGAACCCATGGAACGTCCATCAAGCCCAAGAAACGTTAAGGGGAACTGTAGAAGGAACTTAGACTGCCTTCGGAAATATGGTGAAACTACTTCCTCGCCCACACCATCTTGCCCTTCACCCAGGTGCTTAGTACATTACCTTGGTGGTCAAGAACCGCCAAGTCCGCGTCTGCTCCCGCACGCAGTGTACCCTTCTTGTCCTCAATATTAAGGCACCTGGGAAATTGTATTACGGCAAGGTCTGTGAGATCAATTCTTTTTGCTTACTTTGCAGGATTGTAAGTTGCACATTTGATAGCTTGACCAATGGAGCAGCCCGTGTAGCGCACAAAGTTTCGTACGCATTTATCGAGGGTAACCACGCTAACGTTCGGCCATTAATGTGCAAAACAGATATTAGTGTAAACAAACCTTCCGGCAAGGGTGGTGGTGCCTTCCACGTAAAGCGTATCACCCTCCTTGTAAAATCGACGGCCATCGCGCCAGTCGTGAACACCATCCTTGAGGTGCGGGTCAAGAATCTTCATGGCTGTGAGAACGTCAGTAAAGCAACTCCGTAACACAATGTCGCATACCATCGGTAATCAAGATGCACCCGTCTGGATGAGCACTGTACGCTAGCTACTGAAGATATCAAACACAGTCCAGATGCACGTCAACAATAAGAACATACTCTCACGGAGTTGGGATGAGAATGGATCCCATCCACGATGATCTCGTAGAATGGTCGATCGAATGGTATAGTCGTCAAATCTTTCTTGAGCTTACTTTCACTTGACTGCCCACCCCCCAGGGGAATGGCGGTGATAGCGGCAGAGCCCGGGCTTGCCGTTGACTTGCCTGTGGGAAGGAGAGATTTCCTGAGAGCTTGTTCCGCAAGGAGCATGGGTGTCTGAGGGGGTGTCTTAATCTCATCAAGTGCTTCCGAAATGTGATCAATCGAAGGCTCCTTGGTGATTGGAAGCGAATGCATCGAGGCATTGAGGGCACTGATGATAGCGGAAGGGAATGGCAAAAAAGTCGAAGAAGACGAAGGAGATAGATAAGGAGAAGCTCCAAGTAAACCAATGATAGACGGGTCGCGATGGTGAAGCTGCGGCATTGCATTGAAGAGATGTGTGATGCATCTTGCACCATTCCGTACTGCTGCAGTTGCGATATCCGTTGTAGCCATGCTATCTTGTATAGGAGTAAACTAGCATCGTCATTTTCAACAAAAACATACCTGTGACCAATGTTGAAACAGATTCCACGCTTGCTGGCTTCGTTAATAGCCTCCATAACGCCCTCGACTTCAGGGGCAGCTGTTATTATGCGTACTCCCACAGTATTGTGGACGGTGTCGCCTGACATGAGCCAGTCTTCTGCGTCTGCTAGGTTCTCTGGACTGTAAATAGACTCAAAAGTCTTAAAGCCTTCTGAGGCAGAAATGATTAACGCAGGCGAGTGGGCCCCTCGTTTGGACATCTGTAGGAACGGCCCCTCGGCATGCCACCCGAGGAGGTGTGCTGCGTGTGGAGGTGACCATGGACGAAGCAGGTCAAGAAGCTTGGGGTACAAAGTCGTTTCCTGAGTCTGTTGTATTACGCATATGTTATGCGAATGAAACACCCAAGGACCTGAACCTTACGATAATTGTGGGGACCAAGCTGAAAATCAACAGAGAAATAAGGCGCTCAGAAGGAGTGGGTGGTAGATGCATTGACAACGCACGCAGTCACACCCGTCTCAACAATCTTCTCTGCGACCAACTTCAACCCATCTCGATAAGTTTGGTCGTCGCCTTCGTAGACAGAGAAGTCGAAACCAAAGCCTCCATTGATCTGAATGTCAATAAAGCCTGGACTGTTTAAAATAATTTAGTTGTTAGCAGAAATCGAAAATACGTAACAAGAAACGTCGGTTAAAGACTCGTTCCACCAGTGGGCTTGCGAATTCAGAACACTCACCTCAAGACGTTTCCCCCAAGATCAATGATTGTATTCGGGCGCTCCTTGCGCAGGAAAAAGGTTCGCTGAACACGATTAATCGCTGAATCTGACCCAAATACACGTTATAGCCTGGGCAAGGCGACCCACCTGCGCGTCCAGTATGACACCACGCCGTTCATCAATCCACAAATCCTTTTCAATTAAACTACCGTCTTCCTGCGGCAGGAAGCAATTTGTGAAGCAGATAAGGTTATTCGATGTTGGCGCTGCCATAGCAGATGACTGTAATTATGCAAGAAGCTGGACTGGCATTGATATTGAAGTACTAATCTGAGCTGGCGCTTGGCAGAAGTACCCGGGTATTCAGGCTGACAGCTACACTACTGGACGGATCATATCGATACTCCATACCATGTCATGTGGGAGATAGTAGCGTGCATGTCAAAACACATCTAAACTCGTGAGTTCCATTAGTTTCTAAGCGTGGCAACCTCAGCCTCGAGAGATTATTCTGATAGGTCACTATCTTTACAACTAAGGAAACCTCGGAATAGCTGACAGCCCTAGACGTTCGATGACCTCTTGTTGCAGCCAACTCGAGACTGTCGTTAAATCTATAGTCGATGACCCACAGGGATACTGGCGCACCAATGAATACGTTTGAGTCCTCCACATAATTTTTGTCTGCAACTTTACACTTCACAGGACTCACGCTTTCCTTGTGGTCCGGGCTCCTCGGAAATCGCTCTCGTGGGACATTGAGATTGGTGACGGCCCGGTACTAGGGTGCCCTGGGTAGAGAATGTTCCAATTCGTACCTGATACCATTGTGTGCACGTGTGAGTTTGGATGCTGCTTATGATTCTGCATACTCCTGAAATTCGGAAGGTGGCGTTCTGCGCCACACGAGAATGGAGAGCACAAGGGGATGTCAAAGCCCTGGATCCCCCAGTGAAACTCGTTATATCTGTCGTGAAGTTGTGTGTTGCAGTGAGGACCACTGACGAGATAGGTATCCGATTCACCTCGGATATACATTGCATTTCTGTTTTACGGCCGAATGAAACTCGTCCATTCTCTTGATGAGCGCAAACGTTCTCCGTGGCAAACGGAATGCGGTGACTTGATCAGTCTTATCGAGATATGACTTTCCATGTCACTCTCGTATGTAACTTCGAGTCATCCTTTTCTTTGACATGCGCAATCACTCCACATGCCTCTCACATGTTTACCTCTGATCAATTCCCTGTCTCAATCAGCATACGATTTCCTTTCCTCATCGAATAACCTCCCTCAGTGACTGGAGTGAGCTCTCTTTTTTATGGTTCTGCGTACACTTTTCTGACTATCACCTTACTCAGCCCCTTTCCCGTTCCTAAGTATGATCAGACCATCTTGGCCTGCACGCTCTCATGTGGCCTTTGTCGCCGAAGACCACCAATTATGGAAGGCAAAGACTGGCACAGGTTTTAATGGTACTACCTTTGTTACTCACACATTCGAGCAATCGCGCTGACTTGAAAGCCAACACAGAATCCAAACACGTGCAATGTTCAAATTGCCTTAGTACATCGAATATTTGGTTTCGACCTCTGCGAGATCCGGAGCCTGCAACAACCTTTATCGACTTGCACTTTCGACTTGTGACCAATAGCATCTCGCAGCCGTCAGCATTCAAGACTTTCAGAAAGCGAGGCCATCTGATGAGTCTGGGTTTGCTTCAAGGTAAATATGTCGTAGATCAATGGTGATGTTCTCGAGCTTGCTGACTATTTTATGTTACTCCTTGTATTAATTTTCTCTTGTTTGATACTATAGAGCACTCGTAGCACAATACACTCATATGGATATTGTCCCCATAGTTCTAATTGCACTAGTAGGTGAGTCATAGGTGAGTAGGATCTGAACCAGCTTAATGTAGGCACCCGCCCATGCGTTGTGGGTTACCGTTTGCGGTGAGCGCTGAGTAGCTGCGGTCACATATGTAGCTTGATCTCCCAGAAATCGATAACAGCATTCGGGATCAGTTTTAGAGCCCATCTCCAAAAAGCACGGCCTGTGCATCATTTTTACACGCCGCCGATGCGCCCCCATTACGTTGACATTGCGGTATTAAATCTTGCCTGCCAAGAACAAAACGTCAATCGTATACTAGTCACAAATGCCAGTCTCTGACTTTCAGATCTGGCTGTACTTTTGCAACATGACAAACAATCAGTGATACTACTGATTGAACGCCGGTAAATAAGAAAACGCTTAGCATCTTCTCGATTACATCACCCCTTGATCCAAGAACAACGCTAGCGGAACCGTTTTACATACTTTACATAAATGCACACCGCTCAAAGTGGAGCAGGAACGCTTGGCAACTCCTTCGAGTTGATTTATGCCTCGGAATCGGATCAAATGTGACCTACATGGTATAGCTTTCTCCAAGGGTCACTCTCAGCATTTTGACATTTTTAGCAGCATGGCCCAGGTTAAATGTCATTCCTGCGGCTATTCTAACCCCACATAATTTGTATCGTCACGACTCCACTAAGCACTATAATGACCGCACGACGAATTCATACAACCGGAGGTGAGGTTTTCCATTACCTTCACTCGGATCGAGGTACTCAAAATATCTTCATGGATGAGCAGAAGTGGCAGTTCGAGCAAGCAGCATTGAACTACCAGCTCGTTCCCAAACAGAAACGTCCGGCGCGCTCAAGCGACTGGGGCTTGGCAGACACTCAGACTTAGAGGAAGAAGAGCGCGAGTTTGATGTCATTTTCCCTCCCAGAAAACGTATCAGTCACTGTGCCTCGAATGTAAGGATGATGCTGACTTTCCGTGCAGGCACGCAGAAGGAGCAAGATAAAGAAGACGAAGAGGCTCGTAGGTGGGCAATGAGAAACCTCGTGAATTCGTGGCAGGAGCGCTTGCAGCTCATCAGTGTAATTGTAAGGTCATCACTTACCTGGTGAATGACATTCATCTGATGAACAAATTTTGCGGGTATTGCACAGACGACATTCTTTGCATCCATAGAAGCAGGGATGTTAGTACCGGTGAACACTGACCCGAATGCAGCCAACGCCTTCCCAGGTCTCCTCAAAGCTGCGAATGCAGGATTTTTGGGTGCATTGATCATGCACGTTTACGCAGGTAAGTTGCATGGGTATCATCGCCAGAGCATAATGAATGACTTATTCGTGGCACGTGCGCAACACGTTCATTGCATAGCTGTCCTATCATTCCTTGCAGCCTTCCTTTTGATCCGATATAAACTGAAAGAAGCCTCAAACGAGGAGTTATTCGCAGAAGGCAGAGCCAAGGGATTGCAGATTACGGCATCTCCAGTGAATGGTGCATTCCACGTCGAAGACGTCGAGAGAGATGCCCAAAATAATGAGACCCGGAATCTCGACCTGGAGAACCCGCCACAGCAATGCGTACCAGAGAACACAGACACCAAATACAACCCCCGCGCGCTGCCGCGGATGGGATCAACACCTGCGGAACCTCCTATATTTGCCAGGGACCCACATCTAGAGCAGGTTGGCTTTTGGAATCTTACGATTTCATCGCATCTGCTGAGCCGCGTGCACGCCCTGTGCATTCTCTTCGCTGGGATTGGGTTTGTACTCGCAATCATGGGTATCTTGACTTACGCGTGGGCACTGCAATCAAATGAGGTCAGCATTTTTGTGACTGTGTGCTTCGGGGCCGCTATCCTTGCGATGGGGGTGCTTTTGCTACCTGATCCCTAGGAGTCGAGCTCATCACTGTTTATTTCATTTCTTGAACTCTGCTTCCCTGAGAAATCTATACTTCTGCATTTGTCATACCCATAATCCTCATACTTAGTCTAGTTGCACATGTACATGCTTCAAATATCTCGTAATAAGATTTTTTCAAGAAACTATGTTCTGCTAATTCACGGATATGTAATAAGAATGTTGCTTATTGTTCAACGTTCACCTGGGAGGCCATATACTGGTGCATGTGCATGGTCCTGCAACTCGGCCGATAACGCAATTATGACGGACCTTGACAACTGAGAGCACGTTTATTAATGTCATTTCTGTCTCTTGAACTCCGAAACATTTTACAGACATCAAATTTCGAGTCAGGTCTGGATCCGTAGTAGGCGCTCAACGGTAGATGGTTGGAGACCGTCTGTTCAACTTCTTTATTACACGTTGGTTTTCACTCCAAAGTTCCTGCAAATCACTGATTGCATTGTGCTTTGTGCATCCCCATTAGCCCGCCAAATTCTGTATCGTGACATCCCAGGACACAGCATCAGCCTGGAAGCACATGGTCAATCGATAAAATGGTTCAGAATTACATCCAGCACGAGAAGAACACTCTCTGCATCAGGTTGACCGAATCTGTCGTCTTCCTGCGCATTTCTGATCCGACTGGCCGGGACCGCAACCAGAACAATGAAGCGCCTGCGATGGTTCGCGGATTACTCACCCTGAACGTCGTGAAGCCCACTCGCATCTCCAGTATCGAGATTGAACTGCAGGGGAAAGCTACTACTTCGTCGTTTGAAGGTGCGTTTAGCTTGATCCCATAGAAACCTAAAACGATCCTTTATAGGAGTCGGCGCACGCCGAATAGAGGTGACAGAGCAGTATAAGGTGTTTTCTGCATCTACTGTCTTCTTCCAAGCGGCATCGTTGCCGTCTGCCCGACGTACTGCTTCAGTTGGTCCTGGTCTTCCAGGTTTTGACTACGACCACGACCACGCCCATGATGAAGTCCACCCCGGAGAGTACAGTTCCGTTCCACAACACGCGCCTCATCCTAATGGCCTTCCAAGTCCAACATTCTACACCAGGAGCGCTAGCATGGACCCGCGTCAACCTCCTTCCTCGATAAATGGGCGTTCTTTCAGCGACAACACTATTCTGCAACATGACACTCATACACCTCTCCACCAAGACACTATACACCTTCCTCCCACTCCCCCTTATAGTCCACCCCTGAACTCCCCTTCGTTTATTGCAGATCATCGTGCCTCTCCCTCGCACTCGCACTCGGATTCGATTTCTCAATCTTCTGGTCATCCAAAACCAGAAGACAGTCCAGCACAGACGCTTGAAGACCTTCGACAAGCGCTCGTGAATAATATAGAGGCAGGCCAACCGAGTATGTCATTTTAACTGCTTTTGATTGCTCATGTCTACACACCTTACGTGTCTAGGTCATCGTAGTTCATTCCATGCGCCTACTGCTGGTTCTTCTTCGTCAAGTATATACTCACACCGCGATGTTCC